TTCTTTTTTTTTTTCTGAACGGAGTCTTGTTCTGTTGCCCAGGCTGGAGTGCAGTGGGCACGATCTTAGCTCACCTGCAACTCTGCTCCTGTGGGTTTCAGCGATTCTCCTGCGTCAGCCTCCCGAATAGTGGGATTGCAGGCGGGTGCCACCACACCTGACTAATTTTGGTATTTTTAGTAGAGACGGCTTTTTGTCGTGTTGCCAGGCTGGGTCTTGAACTCCTGACCCAGATGATCTGCCCCCTCGGCCTACGAAAGTGCTGATTACAGGTGGGCGCCCACATGCCTGGGCTAATTTGTTGTATTTTAAGTAGAGACAGGTTTTTTTTTGTTTTGTGTTGTTTTTTAGACAGATCTCTCGCTGTTGCCCAGGCTGGAGTGCAATGGAGCGCATCTTGCTCATTGCAATCCTCAAGACGGGTTTTGCCCTGTTGGCCAGGTTCTTGGTCTGGAACTCCGACCTCAGTGAGCCCGTTCAGCTACCATAGGCTGGACTTTTTCATAGGTGAAGATCTCTATACATAGAATAGCTATCTGGTCTTACTTCTCATATCACTGTATGTATCACCTGTCTTCATGGTGAGGATCGTGATATTCATCTGGGTGTGACGGCAACTCCTCATATGGCTTGTATGTGTTACGAAGTTCTCGTGTTACGCCACAATGTGGCTAATGAAGAGTACGGGCTGGCCCAACTCTCAGAGCATTAATTATGTATTTTTATTGTGGCAAAGGCAGGGCTGTGGCAGCCGTATCTTGTCCAGGATAAGGGAAGAAAGCTCGCTCTCTTTTATAAGCATGAGTCCTCAAATCTTTGCTTCTTACAACCTGGAGGAGGCATGATGAAGTGAAGGTCCCTGTGGGGTAGATGAGACCTCAAAGGCTGGGCCTCTCCTCACTGGCGCAACTCTGTCCGTTCTCAAGATAGAAGTGTGTTAGCTTGCTCAGTGGAGGCCCACCTCTTCATCATAAGTGTGAGAGCTGGATGGAGGAAATGGTGGGGTAGGGGTGCAGGGTTATTGATTTACTCAGCAAACGAATAAATAAAAAGTATCTGTGATTGCCTCCTGTGGACAACTGGGGAGATGGGAAGCACTTTTTTCGCCATAATACGTTAGCCTTAGGCATGTGGCGCCTCTGGTTGGGGTAAATAATGTGTATATAAGTCTTTACAAATAGGTAATTGAAGATCCGTTCACCATCTTTACTGGCAGCCCATCTTAAAGAGAAACGCCCAATGCTGCCGGCTGATGAAATAGTGAATGTCATATTTCATGTTGGGCGCAGGTAAAACTGCTCGGCCTCTGACGCCGCTATGAATGAAAGCAGCTAGATTGGAACTGCGTGTATAATAAGAAACAGCAGGGGATGAAAATGATCTTTCTTTGGGACCCAGGGAAAAAAATACTGTGGCGCATGTAGACTAAGCCAGCAGTAAGGTTAGATGCAAATCTCAGACAAGCATAGACTTATAGGGCGGAAGAATAGAAGCCATTTTCTCGCGCCTTTCCCAGGCTGGCGCTCTTTTCCATGTTCCTATTCAGAGGCAAGTAAATAGATGGGTTATTCTTCATTGGCTCGGCCTGTACTGATATAAGGCGTAGTGTGTTGTCAGTACATGTGCCACAAGTCCTAGCTGCTGTATCCCTCTACTCATCCCAGCCTTATGGTGGCACGGAGTCATAACTAGATCTGTTGTGCCGTCCCTTGTACTCTCCCCTATCTTCACAAACCTGTCCCTGGTGGGCTGAGAGTCATTGCTCTTCCTCTCGGGCACTTTTTGGTATCAGCAATTACACTGACTAACTACTGCTTCCTAGGTACGCACCAACTGAGGGTGCGCGCTGTTGCATGTACCTGATTCCCTGCCAAGGCAAAAG